ATTTGCGCTCTCTGTCTATTTTAGTACAGGCTGGTCAAAGCTGATGGCATTACTGCTAATGGCAATGTCCTTAAAAAACAAACAAACAGCCGGGCGGTGGTGGCGCACGCCTTTAATCCCAGCACTCAGGGGGCAGAGGCCGGCGGATCTCTGTGAGTTCAAGGCCAGCCTGGGCTACCAAGTGAGTTCCAGGAAAGGCGCAAAGCTACACAGAGAAACCCTGTCTCGAAAAACCAAAAAACAAACAAACAAACAAAGAACAGTGTGATTCCTGGCAATGCTATTCAGGTTTGTCCATTGAAGTAGAATACTATACTACAGAGTTCAGGGGTGGAGGTAGGAATACGAGTTCAAGGCCCTGTTTCTAAATTCAAATGGCCAACAAGATGGTTCAGTGAGTAAATGACCCTACTAAGCTTGACAGTCTGAGTTTGATCTCCAGGACCACATAGTAGTAAGAAAGAACTGACTTCACATTATTTCTCTGGCCTCAATATACACAACATAGTGTGGTTATCACACACACACACACACACACACACACACACACACACACACACACACTGAAAATATATTTTTCGAAGGCAAAGACATAAAAATAAATAAGTGTTTAAAAACAGTAATTTAATAGAAAGCACGTATGTAGTCTCATGAAGATAGTCACTTCTGAGCTCCTGACCTACTGAGCAAAATACCCTTAAGATCCTAGAAGTGCTCTTGTTTGGGATCTTGTCTGGGTAAATGAATAAGCTGCTGAATGGGTCTTTTCTCCCATGAATCTTTTTCTAGCACATCTATCTGAGGTGTTGGCAAAGATTTCCTAGTCATCACTAGATGACATGTCCTGGTATTTGGTCATTGGAAGTAATTTCTTCTTGTATTGTTCACTGAGTAAAGTGGAATTAAGACAGATTTCAATTTAAGGTCCATCACTTCCTGGCTTCTTTACAGCTAAGAGTTTGTTTTAGCTTTTGTTTGTTTTTCATCACTAGGATAAGATATCTGAGCCAAACAACTTGAAGAAAGAGAGTCATATTTAACTCCACAGGTGTCTGTCCATGGTAACCTATCAGCTCACTTAGAATCCTGCTAAAGCCCACTTGGCTTTCCCTTTTATCTGCTTCCTCCCCAGCCTGTGGGAGGGTGCTGTCCATACTCAGTAGGTCTTCCTCTCTCAGGAAAAGGCCTCCCAGACACAGCAATGTGTTTCTCAAACCAATCAATTTGACAGGCAAATTGAATTGGATTAGCTGATAACACTTTTGGTACTGTACTGGAAACACCCTTGACCAGATTTTACAGTGGATTAAGTATATCTTCTTATTTTTGTGTTATCATATATAGTGTATTGGATAGTTTTATGTCAACTTGATAGACACTAAAGACACCTAAAGGAGGGAACCTCAATTAAGAAAATGCCTCCATTAGACAGGGCTGTAGTGTAGCTAGAGTTTTCCTGCCTGGCCCACAGTCAGGACAAATCTCTATCACCTGCCAGTCCCACAGCCGCTCAGACTCAACCAAGTAAACACAGAGACTTATATTGCTTACAACTGTATGGCTGTGGCAGGTTTCTTGCTAACTGTTCTTACAGCTTAAATTAATCCATTTCTATAAATCTATACCTTCCACGTGGCTCGTGGCTTACTGGCATCTTCACATGCTGTTTGTCATCCTGGTGGCTGGCAGTGTCTCTCTGACTCAGCCTTCCACTTCCCAGCTTTATTCTTCTCCTTGTCCCGCCTACACTTCCTGCCTAGCCAATGGCCAATCAGTGTTTTATTTATTGACTAATCAGAAACACATTTGCCATACAGAACATCCCACAGCATGTAGGCAAAACTGTAGGGCATTGATTGGTGCGGGGAAAGCCCAACCCATTGTGGGCAGTGCCATCATGGACTGGTAGTCCTGGATTCTACAAGAAAGCCAGCTGAGCAAGCAGCACTCCTTCACAGCCTCTGTGTTAGCTCCTGCCTCCATGTTCCTGCTCCATTTGAGTTCCTGTCCTGACTTCCTTCACTGATGAACAGTAATTTGGAAGTGTAAGTCAAACAAACCCTTTCCTCCCCAAGTTGCTTTGGTTGTGATGTTTCATCAAGCAGTACTAACCCTAACTAAGACAACTCAGTACCAGGATAATGGGGTATTGCTGTGACAGACCTGACCATGTTATTTGGGGGAGGACTGTCGAAGGACTTTGGAATTTGAGCCCAGAAAAGTCACTAGTTGTTGAGAACTCATTGAGCTATTATGTAAGAGCTTAAAAGATAAGAATGTTGAGAGTAGTGTGGACAATGGAGGCCTGGCTTATGAAGTTTCAGAGGGAAGCAAAGACTCTACCAGGCCTTTTGTGCAAAGAATCTGTGGTTGATCAGCTGGGGCTGAAGAAATCAGCTGTGATTAACAAGAGACCAGAACCACTAAAGTAAAACCTTTGCTTTATTGGGACAGTTGATGCTGGTTAGGTGGAACTGAGAAATTAATGATGGATTGAGAAGAGACCCGCATCAGTGAGCTGAAGCCTTCTGTGCAGTGGTTCCTTAGAGTCAGCATATAGAAGCTGTGTTCCAGAGCAGCCGAGTTTATACCTCACACTGGCAGCCAAGCCTGGTAGTTTAAGGGTCACCCAGGTGGTGCTAGTTTTGAAAGCATGAAGGGATCATGAAGAGCAGCTAGAGCTTGGCAGGACTGGAGTCCTTGAAGAGAGCCTAGGAGAAGCTATTGGTGAAAGTGTAGTCCAGTTGTAGGGGAGGATCCCAGCATTTTTTTTTTTTCAGGAGAGAACCTCAATTAAGAAAAATGCTTCCATTAGATGGCGCTGTATGCAAGCCTGTAGGGCATTTTCTTTATTAATGATTGATGGGGGAGGGCCCAGCCCATTGTGGGCAGTGCCATTCCTGGGCTGGTGGTCCAGGGTTCTATAAGAAAGCAGGCTGAGCAAACCAGTAAGCAGCACTCATCCATGGCATCTGCAACAGTTTCTGTCTCCAGGATCTTGCCCTGTTTTATTTTTTGTCCTGATTTCCTTCACTGATAAACTGTAGTTTGGAAGTGTAAGACATATAACCCTTTCGTCCCCAAGTTGCATTGGTCATGGTGTTTGATCACAGCAATGATAACCCTAACTAAGACAACCACAATGTTGATAAACTTCATTCACTCTACAACACAGTAAGGATCCCAGGTGCTTTCATTCCAGGGCCAATTCTAGTCCTTTCCTTTATGTTGTTACTGACTGCCTCCCCAAGAGACATTAGGTTTCTGACCAATAATTCCCTGAAGGCTCATTAAGCTAACTTGCCCTTTCCTTTGGGGGCATTATTGTAGTTTGTTTCCAGCAAGAGGTTAATTATTCATTGCTATTCCAATCTTCATCCCACCCTACCCCAAGCCACACACCACAATTGCAGTCATGGAAGTCTATTACTATCTCTCCTAGGCCTCTCCACAGCACTGCCTGCTGACCAATATGATCAATTGTGCATATCAGGCTAGAAATGGGCCTTGGAAGTCACTTTTACCACCTTCACAGTTTCCTGTTGTCTATAGAAATAAGTCAAGCTCAGGGGCCACGGATGATACAGAAGAGTGTGGATGCTTGTACACAAGAGAAAATAGGATCCCTCTTTAAAAGCTTTAAGGATAATACAAGAAAAAGGACTATTTTCAATGGCTATGTAGTGATTATTCCTATAATTATCTTCTCCTAGAATTCATCTCATGTAAGAGCATGAAAAGACTTGACAATTTTAGACTCCAAAAGTATCAAGACCAAACAGAACATTGTTGTGAGTGGATGCTGAAGTCTTGTTTTGGGAATGTAATCACACCCAGTTGGAAGCGATAAGCATTTATGCAGCTGCTCTGCTTCACAGACGTTCTCCCTCTCATAAAGAGAGTTACTCATTTCCAAATTTTTCCAAGTTAATGTGAATGTTTAGACTCCTAAGTATTCACAAAAGCTGAACCCAATGATAGCCTTGCTAAGAGCTGCCACAAAAGTTACAGCTGCGTGTTTTCTGTCTGCTAAGTTTAGCCATTAAAACCTACTCAATTTTACCATGATTAGACAAGTAGAAATCCCATTGTATGCATACAACTATTCTAAGTAGCCAACTTATCCAAAAGTCAGCATTTTTGTAAAGGAACTAACTCAATGCCCATGAAAATACATAGCTTATAAACACATGCATGTATACATACACAGGCATACATACACACACACACACACACACACACACACACACACACACACACACAACAGTATTGGAACAGAGCACATTGTTTTAAGTTAAGAATTAAGCATAATCCTTTTTCTAGTGCTATATTGGTGGAAAGTAATGTACACCTCTAAGATGAAACCTTAAAGGAAAATCAAATGACAGTTTTCAGAATTTACATATTGATACCTTCTAAGGAAATGAGAAAAGTGTTTTTTATTGTAGTCAACTATTTCTATAATCAACCAAAATAGAGCATTTTAAAGAATCACTTTAAATGACCAAATTCTGTTTTTTCTAAATGTTCACTTTTATTCATTTAATGGCATATGTTGGTTCTCACTATTTTTTTTTAATGTATTGGTGGTCTATTGCCAACCACACAGTATTGGAAAGAATGAATTGGTAAATAATTGAAGACTAATGAGTACAGTTTAAATTTGCTGAGTAGGCAAATTTGGATTGACGAACTCCCAGAGTCATACCTACTCCAACAAGGCCACTCTCGTAATCCTTCACAAATAGTTCCACCCATGTGAAAAGGAGCATTTAAATATATAAGCCATGGGGGCAATTTTCATTCAAGCCACCACCAAGCCTGACTCCTGCCTAAAGAAATATCATATTCTCAAGAGGTGTCACCCCTGTACTATGTCAGCAAGAATCAAAGAAACGCTGTTATTAATCAGGTGGCTGTGTCCAGTCAAATGCTTGGGAGGCTATTAATAAACCATGCTGGATGTCCATTGTGATCTTCTTGTTCCTTCTGTTTCACAGGATTTTTGAACCACGTGAACAATGCCAGCCACTCTGCCCTGCAGCCATCATTCCAAGGATGCATGCAGCTCATTCAGGTAGATGACCAGCTTGTAAATTTATACGAAGTGGCACAGAGGAAGCCCGGAAGCTTTGCAAATGTCACCATTGACATGTGTGCCATCATAGACAGGTAAGCCATTTGTCCATCCTACTTTAAGTGCTCCAGACATCTCGGTTCATATTTCTGTTGCTTGGCAAGGAAAGACACAAAAGGAAAAGATAAACACAAATGCAAAGACTGGGCCTATGAAAGGTTGCTGTTTGGGATGCCTACTTTATCTAGAGTATTTGTGATGCCAGCAAAGACAACATTTATATATGTATACATATATGTGTATGTATGGAGTATGTTTGTATGCGTATATAGGTATGTGTGTATAGTCTGCTTGGTGCATGTATATATGTGTATGTACGTGTGTGTATATATCTGTATACATGTGCATATGTGTGGACTATATATGTGTGTATGTCTGTATATAGAGTATGAATAGGGCATGTACATATACATATATGAGACAGAGGTGGAAAAATCTGTAGCATCCCATTTGCCTAACTTTGTTCAGGCAATGTGAGCACTGTGCTGCTAGGACCGCAAGCAGCAGCTGGAAAACGGCGGAACCCCTCAGTTCGCCATGTGATCTTTCCTTCTATGCTCTCAAGCAGAAGAGTTGCATCCCTTCTCAGCCTCAGGATGCTGTCCCTTCTGAAGACCATTTTGTGCTAGATGTAATCACAGGAGATGAATGGCAAATGAGGGTTAACTGACACAGGCTACTTGGAATAATTCTGCTTGCCAAACCCACAGACAGAAATACTAGAAATTAATGTTTATTAACCTCTTTCTATGTTTGACAGTTTCGTACATTGATATAACTTTTAGTTCTTTTCTCCCCCACCCCTCTCTTTTCCCACTTCCAATCCACTGAAGCTCTTCCCAGCAAATCCCCCTCGTACTCTCACGCCTTCCTTTTGAGTGTGAATTCACACAGACTAGAAAGGCAAAATGCTTCTGTGAAATATAGTATTGCATACAATTTCCTAAATCCTAAATACTCTAATTCTAAAGTTTGTTTTTCGTTACAGCTTAAGACATTTCATTTTTGAGATATTTTGTCTTTGAAAACTATGTGTAACTACAAGTTGGTACTCACTTAGTGTGTAGAGTTAGCTTTCTCAGTCAGTTTCTGATTTTGTGAGATGGAGCTATCATGCTCTGAACATTAATTCCATTCACTTTATATTTTGTAAGATGAAAGTTCATGAAAATCACTTTTAGAATTTGAAATAAGACAGGCTAGGAGAGATGGCTCAGCAGTTAGGAGTTCTTGCTGCTCTCACAGAGGACCTGAGTTCAGTTCTCAGTACACATGTCAGGCAACTCACAATGCCTGTAACTCCAGCTCCAGGGAGTCTGATGCCCTCTTCTGACATACATGCATATGCATGCAGCCACAAAAATATACAAATAAATTAACAAAAGAAAATGTGTTTGTGCCTCAGTTTGACATCCCCACATGCAGACTTCTAAGTCTCTAAGTTGTTTTGTGGAGATCCTCAGGCAGCTAATGTATCCTACAAAAAAAGTTCTATTATGAAGGGAATTCATTTCTAGATCACCTTTAAAAGTTGGCACTCATGCAAATGGTACCTTACAGTTCAGAGTGGCTATGGTGCATGGTGGCTATAGAATATAACTTTTTGTTTGTTTGTTTGACAGAGGGTTTCTCTGTATAGCCCCTGCTGTCCTAGAACTTGCTCTATGATTAGGCTGGCCTTGAACTCAGAGATCCACCTGCCTCTGCCTCCAGAGTGCTAGGATTAAAGGTGTAAGCCACCACTGCCTGGCTAGAATATAACTTTTTAAAGTCTGAATATGTTTACAACAGGAGAAAGAAGAACATCCTGTTCATTTATATCACATCTGGAAGAATGTTGCTACAACCAGCCTACACAGTTTATATATAAATAGAACAGCAAACAATTTTGGCAGAATATACCCCTAATTTGAAAGACATTTATAGTATATTAGCCACTATTTCTGCCAGAAGTGCATAGTAGTGATAATCAGAGAAACTCAAAGATGAATAATTCAGAGACTTTTTCTGGCATTAGATGGTATCTATATGTTTTCTACAAAGTCACATTTCATTTATTCTAATTACATGAATATTAAAGTGTTAGTACCTGGTGGTCTTTCTGTATCAGTAGCTTTTATGAGATAGTAACTTCTGTGGAATTGTCCACTGACCTCACTCAGCTTTATACATGGGCAGTATTGCTCTTTCATTTTCAAACATCATATTCCAAGATGTCCTATTTAAAGTGTTTCTTCCAGAGGAAGGATAGATGGTGTTGAACTTTTTATGCAAGTTTGGAGGTGGAAGGGTGTTGTTGTCACCCAAAGAGTGAATGAGATTTGAGTAAATGAAGAGTACACATGGTCATGATCATGGTGAGGAGAGAGTGTGGGGAAGGTTCGGAGTAGAGAACATGCATCTCCACAGTCGGTAGCTTTGTGCTAGAATGAGCCAGTCTCACTGTCCATGCTGCATGTTCTCTGCAACTGTCAAAATTAGCATTTGCAGTGACAACTGTATTACTGTGCTTGTTGCTATAATAAAATACCTGTTGAAATCAATGTAAGAAAGGAAGTAATTGTTTTAGTTTACATTTTAGGAAGTACAGTCCACGGTCAAGGGGAAGTCTGACAGCAGAAGGGCTGTGGTCATGTTGCATCTGCAGTCAGAAAATACAGAGGAGAATGCTGGTGCTCAGCTTCTTTCCTCTGCTGGATTTAGTCTGGGAGCCCAGGCCATGAAACAGCACTGCTCACATTTATAGTGGGTCTTCTACCTAAGTTAACCTAATCCACTTCACAGCATGAAAACCATTTTATGTCCCCTAGCATTTTTTTAAGGGCAAAAATGTGTGCACATCCAATGCCAATTGATGAGGTCAACTCCGTTATTGACTTAAAATGTCCCCAGTTAAAAATCCTAAGCTATAATGCCCCATGCTGTGGGATGGTCTGTATGTCAAATGCTCTGATTGGTCAATAAGTAAAACACTGATTGGCCAGTGGCCAGGCAGGAAGTATAGGCAGGACTAACAGAGAGGAGAATTGAGAGAACAGGAAGCCGAGTGAGGGAGACACTGCCAGCCGCCGCCATGACAAGCAGCATGTGAAGACGCCAGTAAGCCATGAGCCACGTGGCAAGGTATAGATTTATTGAAATGGACTAATTTAAGATATAAGAACGTTAGCAAGAAGCCTGCCACGGCCATACAGTTTGTAAACAATATAAGTCTCTGTGTTTACTTGGTTGGGTCTGAGCAGCTGTGGGACTGGCGGGTGACAGAGATTTGTCCTGACTTTGGGCCAGGCAGGAAAACTCTAGCTACAGCCCCATATGTATTTTATGTGTTATATAGGCCATGTTCATTTCATTCATTGAAGAGATGCTGACAAAGTGACCCAGGATCTGTGACTTTCTAGATGAGAGCATGGAGAGGCTTAGCCTCTACTTCTGCAACTGCAATGGGCAAATGTATCTCTGTAACATTTGCTTGCTAACAGAAGCTCCACAGTTTATCTTCCATTTGCCCAAATTCTCCCAAAGGAAGTACATCCTGACTCATGCTTCTCATTCCAAATTCCAATCAGACTTAACAGTGTTATTTTTAAGGGGGAGGGGGGTAAAAATGAGAACACAGAGTAAGTAAGTAGAAGAGCTGCATAGTCTTGATAGGTTTATAAACTCTGAGTGTATTAGCAGCTACAGTGATGTGATGCGAAGTCAAGGAAAGAGATGGGGAAGATGATTGAGTGTTCTGGAAATTTCACTGAAGTTTCTCTCTACATGTGTACATTTGCATGTGGCTTGGTCTATGTTTTCTAAATAGAGCATTGAATCATGGAAAGATCAATTTGGCCAGAATATAAGCCCAGACACTTAATGCATATTTTCTGACCATATGGAATGTCCAGTCCTGTTCTCTGTACTAAAATAAATCAACAAAGAAGATGAAAATCCAAAATATTTGAAACTCACATTCTAGGGGATGAGAACAAGGGAAGACAGCAAGGTACAAGTGTAAGCTAAAAGTAAATACTACAGTTAGAATATTCTGTGTTGAGGGAAAAGAAGCGAATAAAACAAAACTAGGAACACAGGTGTGTTAGATCCAGGTATTTGGGTGTTCACAAACACCTCTCAGAGTGAACCTCATGGAAAGGAAAGCATCAAGAGCAGGCCATTGCTTATCCAATGCCAAATGATCAGCCCTGAAAACAGTTACATAAAGTAACATTATACAGACTGAGAAGGTTGTGTTTATGTATTTAGGAATACACAGACACACAGATACACACACACACACACACACACGCACACACACACATGCACTCACACACACACACGCACTCACACACACACACACACACACACACACACACACACACACACACACACTCACAGACACACACACACACACACAGAGTAAGTAAAGGTGGCCATGAAATGTAAAGTAAGCAGGCATAGCAGAGCACGGGAGGGCTTGGAAAGAGGAAATGAAAGGGGGAGATTGTAATTATAATTCCAAAAGCTAAGATTATTCTTTTGAAAAAAACGAAACAATTATTTCAAGACCTGAAAAAGTTAGTAGTTTACTATTTTGAGGAAAGAGCATCTGATGCAGATGAGAGCTAGGTCAAGGAGGATACCTGTTGTGATAAGCCAGGGTAACAAGTTTGGAAGGGTGGGAAAGTTAGCAAGAAAAAAGACCAGAGTACTCCTAGAAACCACCCCTTCTAGGGTGGTCCTGCTTGCCAGTAAACCCAAAACTCAGGAAATATGAAAGGGGAAGCCTGAATTCCAGGCCAGCTTTGGCTATAGAGCAAGACCCAGTCTAAGCAAGTAAATATTCAAAAGCCAATTCCTGGAGGGTAATGATTCACTGTAAAGATTTATTTTCTATTCTGAGGGAGTTAAGGGGCCATTTCAGGGTGCTGAATCAAACAATGAGACACTTAATAATTTGTGCTATAAAATGAATTTGGCAATGAGAGGAGAAAATGTGGGTGGCAGGATCACAACTGGAGGACCATTTTCAAGATACTGATGCCTGGCA